ACCAGTTACACAGGTTTTTGTGACCACTGGCAGGTGCACATTTGTGACTCCAGCATGGACCTCAAATTAAAGCAAGAGAGCACGAGCCGACCTTCATGTGGTGGATCATCACTGGTGACTAGAGGTGGGTATGTGACTCCGACCAAGTTTTCACAGTGGAAGAACCCAAACCTCCACAGACTGGAAGAGGTGCATCAGGTCAGGAGTGCTCAAACAGCATGCTCTTGTTTTTTTCAGTCACGTGGTCGTGAACTGTGAAATTGAAGTGGAGGGGGTCACCATTTGGACACGGTGGAGGAGATTCAGCAGCCATTACAGATGCTTGACATGCTTACATCACCTCACATAGCTCGTTGTCATTCTGCTAAAGGGTTAATAAATTATCTTGCATGTTTGTATTGCTTCAAACCGATCACAATTTTCCTGGGCGGTGCTAAGCTCAGGATGCAGTGACTGTGCCCTTGTAAAGAGTGATGGGGGAATTGCTTTGGTGTAACATCTACATGCCGAGAGGTAAGAACTGTGACTAGAATGTCTGATTCACTGAATAAAACAAACAAGCTGGGCTGCCTTCTTGCACAATTCAAATCTTTGTTAAAACTTGAAATTGTCAGCATGCTGGTTGCTGCTGTTGAGGTCGTTGTTGTCGTTTCCCCGAACAAATGGGATTTTGAGAATGGTAACATGGAGAAGCTGCCTGAAATGCACAGCGGAAATGGCAGGCTTACACCCGAAGTCTAGATTTAGTGAGTCAGACTAACGCTTACATAACAGGCCTTAAAGGGAGCATTCCAAACATGGCAGGAGCGCTGTGTTGCTGCACAGGGAGACAACTCTGAAGCGGATGGTGGGACGATTTAAATGGGTACAGGTTTTTGATTTTTATAGGCATAGTCTGAACTCCTTGGTTGTACCTCATAGTAGACACCTTCCTATTACCTCATCATATAGCCAGTAAACCCCCACCCATCAGCCACGGAGTGTGAATGAAAGAAATGCTCAGCATGACCCACACTCTAAGCCTTTAAAGGCCTCCAGCCTCTGAGTTCACCACTCACATCCTCAGACATGCCAATCATCTGAACACAAATCAATCACTCGCTTCCCATCACATATACAACCGTAAACTCTGATCTTTCCCCTTTTTGATGCATTTTTGGTTGCCTCCACAGACTTAATGGAGTCACTGTGAGAAAAAACAATAAAAAGTTACATTAATTGTAAGCTGCTTTTTGTCACGAATGAAGCGTCTGTGGAATTAGAAGGCCATGTTTTGACTCACACCTCGCTGTGCTGTGTTTTTCCCCCCTTCTTCCCTCCCTCCTTTTTGTACGAGACCCAGTTATTATCTTTTACTGTTGTTTTCTGAACTTTACAAGGGGCCTCTCAGGCTCTGGCCCTTTGATGGGGCTGAAAGGAGGGTGTGGGGGACTTCTCAGACAAAAAACTCAAGGGAGACAAGGAGTACATTTAAAAGGAAGAATAAATGGGCTTGTTATCCAGCTGCCAAATAAAAATATGAAAGCCAGACTCCACTGTGAAGGATGATTACTTAAAAAAAAAAAAAAAAAGAAGAAGCATTGCAGGGTAAACAGAGAACATGTCAAAATGAGGAACAATGTCTTGTCACAAAACAAAGAGTTAAAACAAACTTTTGATAGATTTACATGTAAATATAACATAAATCGAGAGGCGCAATCTGTAAAAATCAAATCTCCAGATACGTGATCTGAGACGGTTTCAGAGGAACTCGAGGCATGTATTCATCCGGCACCACTGGAAGTTTCTTATATAAAATGGATTAGAAACAAATGTTTGCACTCATGTGGATATAATCAAGTCCGGGGCTCTGCGGCTGGCCTTTCAGCTGAGCTGTGCAAGGGGGATAAAAAAAAAAAAAAATCCAAACTCAAACTCACTCCTCTCTTGTTTCCAGGAACCAGCCGCAAGGACTGAATGTCTCTGGGTGAGCTCAGTGCAGAGTGTTGCAGAAAGAAAAGGGGGAGGCGGGTGGGGGTGAAGGGATAGGAAGGACGTTTCTTCTTCTCCTCCTCTCTTTCTCTTTTTTTGGTCGCTGGCAGGAACCATCAGCGACCCGATCTGCTTTCAATTACCGGTGGAGGATGATGTTAGCCCTCTTCCTGTCCGTTATGTCTTGCACATGCAAACTCCAAAACATCCTGGAGTCTCACCACTGTCCTCTCATCCCGGCTTCCACTCCCCTCCCCTCCTTTTCGCCCTCTTTCTCCTTCCATCCGCTAAGAGCAAGTGATTCATCTTCATTGCAGCGGAGGGTAAAATGGCCACGGGGTCATTTCCACTCTTCCTCAGCCTGACCCCATCTTTTAAGTGCTGGTGATTCAGTGGTCAGTGGTCCAAAGAGTAGTTAAGGGGTTTCTGGATGTGCATTAGGAAGAAAAAAAAAAAGAAGGCACTGCGGCTGTTGATGAGCTTTTAGCCTTTTCTTGCGGCAATATAGGTGGAGATGCTGTTTAGATAATAAATTTTGTTTGTGCTTTAAATGAAGCAAGGACTGCATGATGTAAACCAGCCTGCTTCCTCTCAGGGACATCACAGGGTTGAATGCAACTGAGACACAACTAATGCTGATTACAAACATGGGATCCAGCGCAGACTGTGTCATTAAGAATGATGCCATAAAACAGGCAGGCGTGTGAAGGGAGGATCTCTACAATCCATGTGCCGCTTAATGATTTTTATTTTTCTTCTTCCATGCATGATTTTCCCCTGAGCACTGACATGTGCTCAGCTCCAGTTGGAAATTAACCCGACCGTCTTCATTTTTTTTCTATCATCTTGTATTTTCTTCAGTCGAGTAACATCCCTCATCACTTTGACAGAGCATTAGTTTGTTGGTTGCAAGTGTATCATAATGCTGCTGCAAAGTTTTTTTGTTTTACAGCATTGTGTTGTATGTAACACAAATGTTGATTTCTTTACTCTGGCTTTCTGTCATGGTTGGATGTGCAACTTAAATCCAAATCCTAAACTATAAAGCTCTCTAACTTTGGATTTAAGATGGCACTAATAGATATTTTTATAATAATGCATGGAATGTAACTGAGGTAACAATGTGACAGAATGAAAGGGGTTGCTTGTTGTGATGAACAAAATGAGAATGGCCATCCTAATCTGCAGGTCTGCTCAGCTTTACTCACTTTATGGTGACTTTCAGGTTACTTTCAGGTTTAGCTCCATGGCCCACAACTTTATTGTTCTGGTTCACTCTCACTGCTCCATAGTGGTGTTTCAACCACAGCATTTAGCTATTTTTTGCTCACTGGATGTAGACTTTGAGTACAAGTCTGTCATTCCCACCACATATTTAACATGGCTTTTTCCTCTCCTTCCACTGCCTGCATGAACATCACCTCTGTTACAGGAAACAACCTACACACTGACGATGCAATTAAGCAGCCGTGCTTGGTTTTGTTATTGAAGTTGCCATTTTAATGACTGTACTTGCCTTGTCAATGCAAATGTTCCACCCAAACAATTCCCCTGACACTACCTTGCAGGGGCACCATCACTACATCCTGGGCTTAGCATCACTCAAGACCACTTTCTTTTTAGGTTTAATATGCAAACACAAAAGAGCATCTATTCCAAATATCAGTATTATTACAGGCTAGTTTTTTTTTGGATGCACCTTTACAAATAAATTCAAGAGTAAATAAATTCGACAGTTGACTGCACTTTTGTTTGTTTGTTTATTCTACTAATAAATTTATTGTGCATGTATTTCTGTTGCTTCTGTCGCAAGTTGCGCTGCACTTTGGGATGTCTTCTCTAGAAAATGCCAATAAACTTTTCTAACTCATTTCCTTCTCGTGACAAGCTGCATTTTTTTCTTCAAAGGACACATTCTGGCAAGATACAGGAACGATATCATCCATTATTGCTGGGCCTGAAAAAGCGTCCGTTCTTCCAGTTTTTCATCTTTTCTTTTGCTCCCTGACCAGTCCAACTGCAGCAAGCTCTCCATTCACATTGGCTGCATGTTTTCACTGCAGGAATGGTTCCAAGGGACAAGCAACTATTTCAGGAATGAAGAAGGTTTAGCAGAATTTCAACCAAAGGAACAATCCATTCCTCTTCCATCGTATTAGTGCCCATATTGTCTCTGCTTTAATGGTTGGACATTCTGGAGGACATACAGCTACTGAGTTTGTAGCTGATGGAATTGGTCAAACTTTGGCTTTCTTCTGCAGGAACTTGGAAGAAGGAACGAGGTGGGGTGATTGTTTACAGGAATGGCTACCTCAGTCTTCTTGTTTCCATTGTGACGAATGATCTGACATCAGCGCACCAAAACAACAAGTAATAGTAGTTACTGAACCTAAGTCCAGTTCTATAAGCATGTAGTAAATAGAACAAGAAGGGTTTGCTATGTTAGCCTATATGGTGAGTTCTCCATTTATAATGGTGATGCTTAAGGCGAGAAGACTGCTACTCAAGGAGAACATTGAGCGTGGAAAAATTGCATTTGTCCTCCCTGAGTTTATATAATAAGAATTGAGACTCACACAGCATTGCTGCTCAGAAGTGCGTACCTCAGAGTTGGTACTTTTTCGTCTGCTGAAAATGGTCCTGAAAGAGGTTCTACAGGGGGGATCTCCACAGTCTGGTGGGTTGCCCTACATGCTCTACACTAATATTACTACTACTAATAGGCACCTTTGCACTGCAGGAAAGGGCATAAACAAAGTGGCGACTACATTTGCAAGAATGTTCCCGTAATTGTCCATTTAAACCTTTATGTGTCCATTGTGTTGTAGGATCCATCGGACTTACAAGGTGACACAATAATTTTGCAACATTTTCAACCGCACCACCAAAACAAAACAGAGTAATGTTGCTGGCTGTCAGACCAGTTTTAAAAAAGAGAGAGAAATAACGTGTGCCAGTAGGCCGAGAGCATGAGTGGATGAAGGAGGAAGAAAGAGAGAAAGAGGGGTGATTGTGGGAGGTTGTTGTACCTTGGGGACATCGATAGCAACCTCCCTCATGGCGCTGGGCTTCACAACAGACATGGCCCACTGGAGGTCCTGCAGAGTGACAGTCACCATCCCTTTCAGCTGCTGGTCTGATGCTGCTTGATGGGAACCTCCCAGTGCTCGCCTCAGTGCATGCAAACCTGCATAGAGAGGATTTACATCTGTTAAAAGCTGCATTAGATCAGAAGAGAAAAACCTATTTTTTCCTCAAAGTTATTCAAGGAAATAAACATCAGCTAGCTTACACAGGCCGAATTGAGAGCTCAAACATTTTTAATTTTCTTTGCTTAAATAGATAGAAGAAAGTCAGCACTTTTAACCAAGTTTATGTATTTAAAAAAAAGGTTTTGGCAGATGACATCCAAGCTCATATATTACAGAAAAGAAGAATCATTTAGAAAATAAAAGGCTGTGTTTTGAGGCATAAAAAGGGATCTGAAACTGGTGCCTAAAGAACCGATGCCAGTGTCGTTGTGGCTTGAGGGTTTTTCATTCCAAACCCATATTCACCCATTCCAACTTTCTGCTCTAAACATTCAGGCTTGTACATGCTGTGATGATACACACCTAGCAAATGCCAGTCTCAAAATGAACACTAATTCCTCTTTTGACGGCGAAAATAATTGGGCCCGTATTATTCAGGAGAAAAGAGAGTAGGCCGAGGGGAAGGGAAGTGTAATTGAAGCGCTTAAGGTTTGAATACCTTCAGTCTGCATCTGAATAAAAAGAAGAAAACAAAACAAACACGGATGTGTCAGTTTCAAGAATAAGCCTTTGTTTCTCCTTGCAAAAGAGGTCAATGCAGCTTAATCTGAAGGAGAAAAGGTCTGGGCACAGTCAGCGCTGCAAAATGGTGAGGTGATGAATGATATATAACACATATTTCTAAAGAAAAATTTCCCATAAAGATTGTAATTATTAACTGGAAAGGTTATTAAACACGTCTTTTACCCATAAAAAGCTTGTTCATTGTTGGATTCCGAGCAGCTGTGGTCAAGTGGCTTGTTTAGTGGAAGCTAAACAGCATTCACTGAGGGAACTTCCTTTTCACTTTCCAGTTTTTCCACAATCGCAAACGAAGCGATGGAGCCATAGGCATTCTGTTACAACAACCGCAGTTGTTATCTATGTCACCGAGGGAAATGAATATTGATTAAAGACCTCGTTCTGAAGCACGTTCTCGGCAAAGGAAGTTCTTTCCGATTTTCATGTTTTGGTTAAGTAAGAGTTTGCGGCTTTCCCCAAAAGAGTTTCCAGAAATTATAGCGAAAGCTTGACATACAGGTAATGACAGAAATCTGCACACATTTGCAACGCAGCTATAAGCATCAGTGAAGTGCACAGGGAGCTAACTTGGTCTAATAGAGTTTTAAATTCTGTCCAATTTAGGGATGAAATGTCTGCAGGTAGGTCTGGTTGCAATATTGCATGCAGTCATTACTAAAAAAGCAGAGAGGAATGCGTGAGAAAAGCAGAAAGTAAAACTACGACACCATAGAAAACACCATGTGTGGATCAGCTTGCATCCAGCTGCGCAGATTTAACCCCTACAGGTGGGAGGACAGGTCTTCTCCGAGTTAATTACATGCTAAATGTGGGCAGTGATTAGTAGTTACAAAACCAGTCCACAACCACGTTTCCAACCCCAGAGTTCAGTAACAGTATATTAGACGCACAACCATTCTCAATGCACATGTGCACACATCACACAGACGCACACACATAAACTCTTGGCTTCCTCTTCTGAGCTAAAAGGGTCGGGGTGGGAGATGGAGCTGCGAGGGCTGTAGGGGAACGGACGTGGTCCAGGGCTGGGGGCCAAAGAGCAGACTAGAGGGGATTTACGATCAGACAAGACTGCATCCTGTTTATATTTTCCAGGACCCGTCTGACTAGGCGAGGGACAGGCAGACATACAGACAGGCAGACACACAGACAGGGAGAGAGGAAGAGACGGCAGAGAAACACAATTAATGCAAGCAGGTTTGTCTTCCGTGAGCGCTCCAAACTTAGGTCAATGTTTTCCCCAGTCCCGGCTCCCCGGTGTATGATGTCTCTCTCTCGCTCTTTCACCGTCTATCCACACACACACACACACACACACACACACACACACACACCCGCCTTCTCGCTCTCAATCCCCACAGGTCCAAACATCCCATCATTCCACCTGGCGGCCGCTTCAGCTCTTCATCTGCGTTAATGCTTCAGACTGGCGCTGCTAAGACTGCACAAAAACATCTGGTCTGAGTGGAACAGACGAGGCAGGACAGGATAGGATGTGGAAGGAAGCTGGGGTGAGGAGGGAGATGAGGAGCACCAGCCACAACACCATATGCACTAACCCCAAACCATCAGCCGCCTGCCCTGTGAAGGTGGAGGGCCTCGGCCTCCCTTAAATACGGGGAGGATGATGGAAGAGGGAAGAAAACCTGAGGAACTGCTGTGTTCTAAATGAAGATAAAAGACGCTTTCTGCAGCTGAAGACGACCCCCAAGGATAGAAATGTTCCCCTACTTTTTGAGACTTTGAAACATCTATAAAAAAACACAAACGGCACAGATCCAAAATGCTCCTATTCTGAAAAGAGAACACATATATTGTACACAGCTACACACACAAAAGCAATGGTTTGATTTTTACATTTCAATCCAAGCCCAGAGCCTAAATGCAAATGTTCTGCACTAAGCATAGACTTGCAGGTCGTTCCAGTCTATACTACGGCTGCATAAAAGCTCTGAAAAATGAAAAACGTAGCTGACTAATGTTTAGTAAATGTTTCACCAAGAATTATCTAAAAACGTCTGGAGTGAATCTAGCACTTTGCCAGTGGTAATGAAAAGCCTTGCAGAGAAACAGCCTGATCGGAGGGGAAATAGGGTTCATAAGCCGCAGAGCTGCGAGTCCAGCCTGGATGCCCGGGGGGCGGCGGAAACTTGATTCAATGATGTGACTTTAACATTTTGCTTTAGGGATTCTCTCTCTCCTAACTGCTCTTGGCTGACTCCGAGCACACATTTGGTTTAGTTATGAAAACATCCGATGGGAAGGGAGGAGGAAAAAAAAAAAAGAAGCAACACAACACAATTTAATCTGAACCTTATGTGGACTCATTTTCCTATTTCTTTCCTATTTTTTGCACCGCTGCTTTACAGAATGCTTCGAATTCACCAGAGATCTGCAGGGAATTGAGAAGAAAAAGGGGCCTCCTAAACGTACAAGAATGCACATTTGCAAAACATCACACCAGGGCCCAAACTAGGTATGGAAGAGAGGGAAGAACGCATTTAGCAGCGCCGGGGTTGGCCAGGGGAAAACAGAGGAGAGCGATTATTTGTGGGGTTTTTTTCCCCCAACAGGCATGGTCTTAATTACGTGCGTCCAAAACAGACCTCCCCCCAAATCAAGGCCTCCTCTTCAGGGGTCACCTCCGCTGATGCTCGTACCAAATTGGCCGCCTATGCTGCAGAATCAAACCTCTGAATACAAAAACTACCCTAGTCAGATATACTTTAACCGTGCATGAGACCAGAAGGCGTACTCTTACAGGCTTTGATCGCGGCAACATGAAGTTTCAACAAGTCATCAAAATCTGCTTCTATCAGGGATCAGGACTGGGAGAATCTTGACTGGGAGCTGTGTGTCTGTGCTGCACGGGAGAATATGTTTTAGTAGTGCACACCAGTAACCTGTCCCAGTACTTACTGAGCCACTGATGTCTTTATATACCCATCCACATGTTACGTTTGCCGGCAGAAGAAAACCGTACAATGCAACATCCATCCAATGCAACACCGCCCGCACCCCAAACCGATCCTCATGTTCAGGAAGAGGTTCAGGACTGGCGATAAGGCCGCTGTGCTTTTTTTTGATAAACTGTATGAGTTATAACAAGCCCGAAGGATTTAAGACACTTATTTTATATTGTGCAGGTGCTTCTACTGTCAAAAACTGCACAACTGCACAAACACAAAAGAATGCACTGCAGCCAGCAGTTTCAGGGAATGACATCTCAGCACGCATCAGCAAAGACTGTCGGATCAGCTATGTTCAATTAACAAGGTTACAGTAAATCTTCCTGGCGAACAGTGCTGTGCAAATGAAAGTATAGTTACGGCATTTTCAAAAATAATGCCGTGAATAGGTCTTACTCATCAATTAACCCTGTTGGGAAGCACAGAGCCACTGTAGGAGGGTTCTGATGACTAGAGGAAAACACAGAGCAGAAATTAAGCTAATGCTAGTTTGCTGTTGAATCATTCAGACCGGAATCGTTCGCTTGATTTTGGTAAAAACACAACAAGGCTCCTTTGTCAGTCGTTGCTCCAAGTGGGTTTGAAGGGCAAAATTGTGACATTTTATCAAGATCGTTTAATTCTGTGTCATGTTGACCTTTACACAAACCATTTTCTGCAACAAAGAAATAAATAGTAAAACTCCTCTGCGCAACGGGGAAGTTAATAGTGACTCATCTACAACCAACAGTCACATGGTAGAAATTCAGGAACGATTAAATTGTTGACACAGAGCAGATAAGAGGCAAGTATGGGAAAAAAACTGCATATGTAGTAGCAGTAGTAGTAGAATATCTATAGCATGCAGAGCTATCATTTTGTGGGCACTTGAAAAACTGTTGTACATGTTGAGATTATTTCAGTTTTTGTAAAATCGATAATGGTTTTGAGTAATCAAACATTTGTTTTTTGTTTTTTTTAAATCCTCTAGTCATGGCTGTGCTGTTTCCACAGTGTGCCGGATGTTATATTGTGGTGGAAAATGAGCCCAGAGTGAATAAAACTGTGATAGGGGAAAAAAAACAAAACAAAACAAAACAGAAATTGCTTGGGATTCAGAGGCTTAATGATGGATAAAAATTACAGCCGTTTACTTGTAGCAGTGGTCACGGACTTCTTTTAAGCTCTAAAGTGCTTCACACAAGGTGCAATGAAATAAATCACTGTAGCACTAAATGAAATCAATATTTTATGTGATCACTTTGTACACTTGCACATGCTGTCAAAGTATATGCATTTCATTTGTGCAACTGCAAGTAAACTCAGTCTGATGTCTGAGACTTGCCTTAAACTTGTAGTGAGGGAGAAAGAAGGAGTTAGGTGTGTTGAGGTTAAAAGTCTTCCAG